GTATTGCACTGCATGAATAACAGCGCAAGAATGTGTTACATAAGTCAAAACTTGGCCAGTTACACGCGAGTACAGCTGCGACTATGGATTTCTGACTGAAGTTCACAGGCAAAACATAACTAGGGTATCTAACCACTAGTAGTCAAGTCTGGCAACTTTTAGAAAGTTTATGTCAACAACAGGATATCCCTCAACTTCAGCAAGAAGTGGGGCACACCAAAACTGGGTCTGAGGTCAAAGGCTCAGAGAAAGGGAAGGTCACAGATCTATGGTACATGTAGGACTGAGGGCTAACCTCTTTGATGAACATGGGAGCGATTGCGGCTGGAGCCAGTGAGTCATTTGCCCCGGAGGCCTCATGTTCAATCCCCATCCTTTCTTGGGTGTGAAGCCACACCTGCTTAACAGCTTGCTGGCACTCCACCTGCTCAGTAACTCTTTTCGCTCGGCTCACGCAGCACTCTGCTGTATGAAAACAGCCAGGAATTGAATCCCGTGAGCGCTGTGTTGGAAATACATTGTACACTGGCAAGCGGGACGTTAACGCCTTCCAACAAGTAGTGTACTCAGTGTTGGTCTGTAAGCTGTGTACATACACGTACATACATGTACATGAATGTACATGTTGAACTGGGACGTAAATGTATTTGCTTGACTGGTACAATGTACATGCAGCGGTATCCCAAACGTAGCAAATAGTATTTTCTTTCTTTGGCACTTTGCCACTTACCCCACAAGATAATGGCATTCTGGCCTGATCAAAGTATCAAGGTTCACAAATCTTCAGTTTATGCATCCCAAGTTCTCAGTCTGGTAACACCACCAGAGGCAGTCAGGCAAAATAAACTGAAGTCTACCATATTATTAGACAAATCCATCACCGAGACAGAAATGTCTGCAACATTGAAAGTTTCACACAATCTAAATCTCCTCTCTGGTGTGCGGAAGAGGGAACAGACTGAAGACTTCAAAACCAAGTCAAAACCAGGATGGGGGAGTTTTCAGACTAAGACAGAGGCTGTACTTTCCACCAAGTGAGACATCGACTTTGAAAAATGCTGCTTGAAAATGAGGCTTTTCTCAGACTTGTACATGTCTAATAAGCCCCCCCCACCCCAAGGCCGTCCATAAATGTGGCTCAGACACTATATCACTCATTGACAAACACAAAGAAAGGGAATGCGCATGCAGTGCACTGAGCCTCATCACAAGCAATGTCAAAAAGTAGGCACGCTTATTTGGGGGGGGAGGGGCTGTTCTAACCTCCACCCCATTTCTCAAGTTTTAGTCTCAGGCTTCCGTACATTAAAAGCCAAGAGCTTGAGTATGAATCCTGCCACTCACCCATTTCTTTGCTACTATATAGTAACACTGAATTGAGGTGCAAATTTGGAACCAACAGTGACTGTTTGCAACTGACTCTGGAGCTGGGGGACGGAGTAACAATGATGCCAAGATTTGGAGAATGGCTCAAACCTTTACATGTACGGTACCGGTACATGTACCTTTGTATAAGCCTCGGCTCTCAGGATATGCCCTATGTGTATGTGTAGTAAAGATTTCTTTTACACAGGACGTTGAGGGCAAGACAGGAAAGCCAGCATCACATAATCATGAGCTGCCGTGACTTTCAAAGTAGCATTAAGGCCAACCCTTTCCCGTGTTTGAATCATTTCCGAGGGAGGGGGAGGTTAGTTGAGGCAAAGGTCAGTTGGGGACAGCGACAGAAGCAACATCTGTCGGCGAGTGGGGTGGAGACAGACTCAAGCAACCATTCATAGGATATGATTGGTCGTGTAGTTCACAGCTGACCGAGATTCTCTACGTGCTCAGCCGTGAGGCAAAACCTGAATGTAGGGAGGGTTAAACCTTTACGAAGGGAACTCGGAGGGGGATGGGGAAACTCCATTTCGTCATGGGGTGAGGGCAGATAATGTGGTTATCGATGTGGTTGAGGAGGGCTTACCAAATCATTATGGGGAGCAAGTTAGTCAACTGAAATTTCCTGAACTTTCATGAACTTCATTCCACAATTCACGTACATGATGGCACCACCCAGTCACAGAACCACTGTGCACAAACTTTAAAGTTAGCCGGTAACCACCATATTCAGTTATATGTACAGTCCTGACATCGTACAAATCCAGGCACAGTGGTACAGATTCACAATATGTCTCAGCATACAATGAATCTCTCCCAGATTGGTGTCAACATGTGACAAATTATGTAAAAAATGATCAAAATAATGTACAGGTCATTTTGAATATGTTCAAAAGCATTTTAACAGTAAGCTTGTCCAAACTGGCAAAAGTGCATGAATCATATAAAATACATGTACAATGTACTCTTATGTGGCCAAAAAAGCTTGTCACCTCAATCCCATACACTGGTATTCAAACAGCTATGGTCCATGGTTTCTATAGACGTAAAGAGACAACTGGCACCCTTGGTTTCACTACAATCTATTACTGTGACCACATCTCATAAAAGGAGTGTAAGGGCCATTTCTGAAGTAATCTTCATATTTCTTGCATTCCTGTACACATGTATTTAGAAAGACCAAACTGATCCCTTTGTCTGGATGTCTCACTCAGTTTGGCAATGCAACGAAAAAATTGACATTTGGTGGGTGAAAAATGCTCAGGGTGAGTAATGATGGACATTTTGCAAGATTCTTGTCAAGGCTCTTCACAACTTAACTCATTCTGTTGGCTTGGGTCACATTTTGCTTTGAAGGATTATTAAATGCCATGGACTACAGCACAGCAGGTACCAATTGCTGTACCGGTAACTCTGATAAGAAAATGTAGTGTGCAGCAGTTTCATGATGATGGTCTGGGATCAGACCCTCATGAAATCCTGTGTGGACAGATGTAGAATTGTACAAAAATAACAAGCAATAGGACAACAACTCTCGCCTTCTTTCGCGGATATTTCCTTAACTACATGAAATATGGATATGAACATTTTATTGATGGATAGAAAAACATGAGCCCTTTCAGATTGCACCAAGATTAACAGAATTGGACAATTTACAGGTCAATTTATGCTCCAATATATGCAGACATCTTTGCGTGGGAACAGAACCTTTGGACAAAGTCCAAGACACTGTCAAATTATGTTACCTGAAATAACCGTTAAGTTACATATTTTGCCATCTAAAGAGATTGCTACCGAAATGTAGAGTTTGCTTGAATTAAATTGGATTATTTGATACAGAATGATCATATGTGGGCATGATTTGTACATCAGTAGGAGATTCTCTTGATGTACAGTGTACAATTGTGAAAGTAATGTTGTTTCAAACGCAATGCAGTTCAACTGAATAAGAACCATTGTGACTTATGCCGATGTGAAATGGAAACTTTCAAGTAATTCCGGGCATTAATTAATAGATATGAAACTTGTACATGATAATATTGAATTTATTGATATAGATGGCCGCAACCTTTGGGGTTTGAGAATTCCCCTTACATTCACTCCTACGTGTATATAAGATAATTCTGGGTAGCCTGTAAACACCTGAAGTCAAGCTGTCCTTGAGAGGAGACTACGCCTGACTCTGAAACCTGGCTGGAACACCACGGAACCAGCCCAACGCACCATTACAGAGTGGAAACCCACAGTTTCACTTATCGAGGGAGTAACCATGTTTATCATGGACTCACTGAGTTTGATTAAACAAATGAATGTAACAATTATGCATAATTAAGTTGTCCTCTCGCAATTCTGGTTGAAGAGTAAAGTAATAAGTTACAGGTAATTTATCACTTCAAATTTAAGGACGCATCGACTTTGACTTCATTGTAAATAGTGTACATAATCTGGAATTGCAAATACACAAGCTTGAATTTTACAGACTGGTCTCATGTCACTTTTTCAGCTGTCTGAGGTACATGTATCTTTACCCCGAGTCATCACTAACATACACGGTATGGCCAAACTGTTCAGATTAGAGAAGCGGTGAAACCCTCATGAAATCCTGTTTAACGAGACTGTCCTATGGTCAGAAGAGAAGCTGTGCTGACCTTGGGCTTATTTTACTGTGCAGATGTAGGAAGAGAGTCAGGAGATATATTCTCCCCAACTGATCTCAATCATGAATTCTAACATCCAAACATTTGTTGCTGGAGTCTCCGTGTCGTGGATGGAGTTCGCATCAGCAGGAAAAAAGCATGGGTGTGGTTAGCAGCACACCAGGGCATTGGTCTTAGGATGGTAACTTGACACAACACTGTGATTTTAACCCTAGACAAAGTTTGCGGACCCACCACCATTTAAACTCATACTGACTGCACTGCCAATACACACAGCTTTTGTACAGGGACAAGCCCAATCCCACTTAATTGTTCTGACAACATATTTATGCACCTGTTTAATAATCTGTAGTTTGAGGGACAAAACACTTACAGAGAAACACAAAAGTCCCAACAATCTGGTCCAAAATATCCAAACAAAACTGCACTTCAATGAAGGGCCGGCCAGGGCAAGCATACGGTACTTGTTCTGTCAGTGTGACATTATCCTGGCAGCACTGCGTCTTTATTTTTCGACATTGTTTCGTAATTTCTGACCAGTCACAAATAATACTGCCATCAAAATTGCTGAGAAAATGACATTTTTAAATATATGATCCAGCGATATCATGAATTAAACAGGAGACGGATTAATCTTTCCAAATATTACAGAACCCTCAAACTGACTTCCACTTCAGTATTTGACTTTGAACCGTCAAAATAGGAAAGAGCAGAATGCGACTTTATCCTCATTTTGTTGTGTTAGGTAACATATGTGCAAGTCATCTGCATGCCAACACACTTCTATTTCTTCTTATTGAAGCAACTCAACCTACACTGCCTTGCTGCCGAGGCCTAATTTCCACTGCCTCATTTCGAATTTCACTTTATTTGAGGATTTGACAGATGGATTTGAGTACAACACTGACTGGCACCCTTTAAGAAGTGCCCCTCCCCCAAAAAACCCAAAATGTGTTCACTTACCTCGGAGCTGAAGTTGACCACCTTTCCGTCTACCACCTGTCGCTGGGCGGTCAGCTGGGCCAGGCGTGTGGTGTAGTGGGACTTGATCAGGTTCTCCCGTGACGTCTCGTCGCTCTCGCCGAAGTCCATGGTGATCCCCTCAAGTTGGCCGAGCTGTTTCTCCGAGATGGGCAAAAACAATTGGTTAATCACACATTGCCGCTAAAGATCATCTCTGTCCATATTAAACTTTATTTTACAGTGCACGTATGTGTTGTGCTAAGTCAGGGTGGCCATACCTGCGCAAACCCCACATGGGAAACAGATGAACTAGCCAATTTCAAAACATTTCCAATCCATTTTAGTCACCAAATGGAAGAATGAGTTGTTATGACGTAACTTCTGACAATTGTCTTGAGGGTTATGCTGTGCCAATTCACACACCTTCCCATATAAACTGACTTGGATTTGGCTGAAAAAATATCCTGAAACATCACCTTCACACGGAGGAAAGTTTCAGCTAAATATTTTTTAGATGTTTGCTTGTTACAGCTTTTCAAAGCTCTGGTCCTATGAAACTTGTTGGCACCACTTGATTGCTTGTTTGTTTTGGCAGCATCATAGAAGGCCTATATATTCTTTTCTAATAAGGTGGAAAGCTGAAAATCAGTGTAAAGTCTATTTCTTGAGCATATGTTTAGGTTCTATGAAGCGATATTGACTTGCCTTTTTCCAATCTTGACCCCTACAATCCTAAATAAGTACAGCATTTTTGTTCAGATATTGAAATCAACCTATTTTGTAGGTCGACTGAGGTCATCTTGACTCACCATGGAAGTGTCCACCTGAGGTTCTGTCTTGCCCTTGGCCGGGGCCCTGCTGGGTATGGTGTCCACTTCCACGGCCTTGGCCATGGCTTGGGCCACCATGGACTCCTGGTCGATCGGACTGGTCACTTTACCACCGGAGCGCAATCTCTTCAGTTCAGCCTCCAAAACAACGCATTTCTGGTGGACCCAACAAAAAAAATGGTTCAGGAAGGGCAAATAACTGGCTGGAGCAACACACCTCAAAAAAACAAAACAAAAAACTGGTCAAATCTGTAATTTTTTGAATGAGTGATTCTTGCAGACAGATGTAACCACAAGAATTATGGAAGGTACCGGGTAAGTCACAGCTTAAACACGGAATGAGACTGAAACCAAATTGGTCATCTCCCCATTCTGAAGCATGTTCATGTCAAGGATGACATTGTGGTCAATTTTACAGGCAAGTTGCCGCATCATTTCTTTTCATACTTGGACCGTGGAAATACAATTCCTGCAGCTGGGAAACTGAGCACATGACTTTATGAATGTATTTCAACATTTTTTGTGTGTCAGGTGCCACGATCAGCTCCAGCTGTCTCACCTGACTTGTGGGCATGACTAGTATGGTGTAACTTGTGGAACCTGACTTGAGACCTGACTTGTAGCATGTGCAACCAGGCAAGTAAAATGTAGCCTGACTCGTGAACAGACTCATAACCTGACTTGTGACTGGACAGGTAACCCGATTAGTGGCCTGACTTGTAGCATGTCCAACCTTTTGTGCTCTGTGAGCACAAAAGTGGCTGTTAGGCAGCGCTATGAAATCGGGTCATCACTTGTAATCTGACTTAAGACTTGATTTCTGACCTGACTAGCAACCTGACTCGAGACCTAACTGGTAACCTGACTTATGACCCGACTTGTAACATTCATAACACAACTTGTAGCCTGACTCATAATATCGTCGTGTGCCCGGCAAAACGTCGTAAGCGCGCTTACGCCCTTTTGCCCGGAAGCATGATCTGAGTAGAAAAAATAATAAAAGGACATAAGAAACACACTTTCTTTGTTTAGTAAAAACGGATGAAATTTACTACAAAATCAACACAGGCTGTGCATAAAAGTAAGCTTTGAACAACTGATCAAATGACTTGGGAAATTTTTTGGAGCTTTTTGCAAAGAAATCTTTATATTTCATTGAAATAAAACAGCGGCATAAATGTGCCCTTTTGCCGGGAATTTGTTTTTTTGCAGCGATTATTCTTCCCGGCAAAAGGTCGTGAGCGCTTACGACTTTCTTCTGGGCACACGACGGTATATAATATCACAAAGACTACAACCAGCAGTCAAAAGTATTACCATATATGGGCAAAAAGACCTATCCCCTTGCCTGTATTGCCCATGTTTCGGTGAAGATGGCTAAAATATAGTAATTTTCATCCAATTTCAATGTTATTCATCTTAAGTTGACAATTAATTTCTTATCGCATAGGTAAAACATGTTTTAGAACATACAGATGATGTCTGTAATGGTCTTTCTTTTGCACAGCTAATCAACTTCTTGCAAATGTAACTTTTGCTTCATGATCCAATGTTTAATAAAAGCACCTCATGTCATGGAAACACCCACAATCTTTCATGGTCTGCCAGAACTGGCCTGTGATTGGTCAGATTTTATGAGCTTTGTGATGTATAGCCTGTCCCAATAGGGTAATACTCCAGATTGGGTAGGGACTGAGCATTCTTACCTGAGACTCCTTAGTGAGCTTGATCTGCACCAGCTGGGCCTCCAGCTTCCAGTGCTCCCGGTCCTGCTCCAGCTGGCTCATCTTCTCACTGGTCTTGGCCAGCTGCTGGGCCAGTCCCGTCTGGCTCTCAGTGGAGCTCAACAGGATGCGCTGGTTGCGCAGTGCCCGCTCATAAGGCACAGAGTCGGGGCAGGGCTGTCGGGAGGAGGATCAAGACAACAAAAAATGACTCCCAGTACTGCTGAGGAATAATTAAGACAGTTCAGATAAATAAAGTGACATCTCAACAGACATATATGATGGCCGCTCTTTCAAGGCGGAAAGCGCTGTGCCAGGGTTTGTACGGAGTGACAGTCAGGGAACAGCGGCTCTGTACAATAGTTAGTACAGTGCTGCTGGCCACTGGCAGGGGCCACTGCAAACGGCAAGTGATATGGTAGCATTACCATGAATACAGGATTTGTATACAGCGTGCCTTCGAGAGAGATTACCACAGTGACGTGATTTTTTTTCCGGTGCATTCTGGGAAGGAAGCCAACTCCGCACACCAAATGGTATTCCTTCTGCACAAAGACTTGGCAGCTTTTGACATGCACAATTTCGGTTGGAAAAGTTTGCACATGAAGAAAAATCAGCTTTCGTTGCATTGATGTTTGTGTGATCACACATGTAAACAACACCAAAATGACAAACATTATGTTTGTTATTAACCCCTTCGCGACGGATGACGGTAAAAGCCGCCGTAAAAATTGAGATCCTCTGCCCGCATTTCAGCTATTATTCTCGGCACACACT